TGAGCCTTCGGGTCCCAAGGGCAGGAGCTAGCCCATCGCCTCAAGAGTCCCCTGTCCGCTTTAATCATTTCGCTCTCGTTGTGCCATCTGGCATCTTGTATCTCTTTCTTGATCGGACTGGCAGTCAGAAACATGCTCAAGCAGCAGAGTTCTACCGCAGCCCACCTCCAGGAACGCCACGAACTTGAACGTGACCTTCGAGTGTAATACCATAGCCACGCGAGAAGCGTAGAGGCAAGAACACTCCTCACACAAGGGTTCTCGTACCAGCTGGCATGCAGCTGGCCCGTGGCGGCCTCGTGGAGGCACCCCTGGTTGCCACTCAAGCACAGGCTGCCAAGCAGCAGCGTACACTTGGACGAAGTCATGCTACCGACGGGTTCAGGACAGGCCTTCGACACAGCGTCATGGGCGAGAAGTGATTCTCGTTTTGGCGCTGCTATGACTCGATGTGCACCGCCTGACTGCGTTTGCCAAGTGTCTGCACTGCACTTGGGGGCGGCCTCCTGCAGAACAGACATCCTAGCAAGCTTCAGGAGTCCACGGAAGTCCTCGGCTTTGCTCGAAGGCACCCCAAAACTTGAATATCCAAAAAACTACGCCCGCTTGCATCGCGGCCACGCTTGGCAAGCACGTCGACAACACAGCCGAACCATGGTCCCGTGTCGCCGAGTCAGTGCCCCCCCGCAGCATCTAATCTAAGCCAGGCCTCTCATCCGAGCAAACAGTCAAGGGATGGTGCTCGTCCGCATCATCATCCTCGTAACTGTCAACGTCTTTTTTGGAACTTTCTCGCAACATCGCGCACCCCGTTTCCTCCACACGGATGAGAGTGATGACTATGATGTTGAGGACAGTGACGCTAATATTCCTTCTGCATGCTGGTATTTAATGCTGTTCTGGCAATAGGTACGGCATGTGCTTTGCTTTTAACTTTTAGTTGTTTCAAAAGCTTGTTTGGCTCGATGTTCGTTTTTTGCATTCTATAGTTTCCGTCGCATTAAAGGTCATCCCCAGCATGTCCTTGAATGACTTTCATTCGGGACTCTTGAGCAAGCTACCGGAGGGTGGGGGGATATCATGCGGTGAAGGGGGGATGGGGGGCCATACCCTGATGTATGGTCTGGCGGTGATTTGCAAAGCATGCCAGCTTTGTCCCTCACCCTACCCCCCTCATAACGATCAGCCGAAGTCTAAAGCCGGCGACGATGACAGAGATCACGCCCCCAACAATTCTTGTGCAGGCGTACAGGACCCTGGGGGCTGGGATCAGAAGCATCCTGAGACGGGCCGGCCACAGTCGAGGCGTTGACTGGCACAACCTTCTCGCACTTGATTCTGTACCCGCGTGGAACAAGCGATGAGCATTTTGCGCTTGCCGTTGCATTTTCCCGTCACCCTCTGCACCTCATGAGTTCTGAAGAAGCCGCAAGCCAAGCACCCTCCCTGCATGTTGCTTAACTTATGGCTTAACGGCGATGATGTCAGTCAAACACAGAAAGTCGTGCAGGACATTGTAACCGGGCAGCAAAAGATTACCTTCATTCCAACTATAATTTGAGAACCTTCGTTATTGCGTCCACCATCATCTCCTAGCGGGTCAGATTCGGACCAGAAGCTCTTCTCGTACCAGGCTGTTCCGCACGAGAGCACAGAGCTGAATGCCGCGCTGAAGGATATCAAGCAGGCGAGACATGGCGAGCCATCGAAGCGGTGGGATAGCGGAAGGATGTTTGGGTCTACGAGACACGGTCCAAGTGATGTCTTGTCTCGAGTTAAGGTCGGTCAGCATCTGCCAAGCACTGCCTCTGGCGAAGGGCCGGAGCCTGAAGACATCTTGGGAGCTCGAAGCTCTCTGGGCCTCCCGGCTTCCCGTCAGCTCCTGTCAGGCCCGCGGCCTCCGCTGCCGTTCTGTCGGAGCCTGCAGGGCTCTCCACTTTTACTGCTCCAGCAAGCACAGGCAAAGTCAAACTTGTAACTGGGCAGCTTAAGCGTTGCACTGGACCTTCCAACCTGGTCAAAGGCTCTTCCCTGCCGCCTAGTACAGCACCAACGTCGTTTGCCAGCTTCTGGATGGGTGAAGCCGAAAGAGGCTGCGAACTAACGAGTAGGTTGGTTCGGCAGGCCCAATCTTTGACATTGGGCTTTGGTGATATGGAAAAGTATGCTATCCTTTGCATCGTGAGGTCCGAGTATTCAGCGGTGCCTGCGAAACCAGCTTTCGCTGGCCAAGCTAGTGTGCTACTGTTGATGCATGTTGATACTCTTGTCTTTCCTTGGCGCATGGCGAAGGTCATGCGAATTGTGCATTTCCCGTTCCACTGACAGGCCATGGCATGTCCAGTCACGTTTCCAAGTTGGCAGTGACGAAGCAGGCCAGCCACAACCTGATACACATCCTCACCTCTGCTCTTCATCTTTGCATCTCCCTCCCCATGCTTGCTCCGCGTGTGGGCTCTCTAGATGCACCTTTGAGATTGAGGCGGCCTCAGCCGCCTCCGCCTTCCTGCAAAAAAATGAGCCTCGCGACTTTACCCGGGCACCGACAGCCGATCTGGAGGAGGCAGCGGTTGCGAAGAGGGAGATGAGAGAACGATAACTGAGATCCCTGAAGAGCAGTGTCCTTGGTCCTAGAGAAATCAGTGGAAGGGCTTTGACTTGGCTCTGTGGCCCTGAGAGCTGTGTTCGGGTTTTTCTTTGGAGTCCGTCGTGTTTTTGTTCTTGTAAGTTTCTCGAGTTGCCTTGGGTCGACCAGTGGCACATGTCGAGATTCTAGATGAAATCCCAGCCGCCTGCATGTTGTGATTTGGCGAAGAACTTCAAGAGCGAGTAAGTGACAAGTGTAAACCAACGCGGCCAACACGCATCCGGTTTTCCATGGTACCGGCGGTGGCGAGTACCCCAGGACCTCGGGAGCAGACGGCGGCTGAGAATTCGCTTGGCTCTGGCAGCGACGGATGTAATGTGGACTCTCAGTGCGGAAACCTGCGCTGCAAGCGGCAGAGCCCCCCACAGCCCACCAGAAACTTGGGGGATCCGCTGCTGCGCGAAGATTGGCCCCTGTGTTGACAGACCTGGGGTTCTGTTGAGCTGGCAACCCCTCGCTCAAAGGCTGTCTCGCTGACCTAGGCCACCATGCCTCTGCAGTTTACGCTGCCTTGAGCCTTGCCCTTGAAGTTGAACAGGCACCGTTGGAGGTATGAGGGTCCACATGAGCTTTTGTTTGACACATTCCGACACTGTAGTCCCGAAGACTCTTCTCTTTGCCCCTTCTTCCAGCCAAAGAATGCACTGCTTAGGGCCAGGTCCGTGTGGGCCCTTTCCTGATGCTTGCTGCAGCATCACAGACCATGCAGACATACACGGAGAGAGAGGATGCAGAACTGAAGCAGGGGCATGTTGTTCAAGTGCGGAGGTGGTTTGTTGATTGCGGAAGCAAGCTGTTGCGGCGTGTTGGCATGTGTGCCATGCAGGTCTCCATCTCGGAGCCCTTCCGAGCCATGCACTTGACCTTCTTGCTGAGGGTGCTGTCAAGCGAACGCAATGCACCAAAGCGATATTGAGGCACTGGAGCAGGAGGCGTCGACATGCACAGATCGGTTCAAGTCGACTGGCAGTCGGTCCGCAGCAGCTTTCTTGAGGATCTTCGCGAAGTGCAGCGCCTGAAGGGCCTGGACCGGCGCCTCCGCCAGCGCGCCCGGGGGCCCGAGCATCTCGAGAGCTTGAATGGCTCACGGTACTTCGTCTTTGCGTTGCGAGGCCGCCCGGCGAGCTCCAGCGAAGCCACCGCCTGACACCCGGATGATCCCGGCCCGCCGACGTGGCAAATTCGTGGAACTTGGAGAGCTGCCATCGCAGGCAGCACGCATTTCAGGGTAGCGACGCCTCCACATGGGCCGCCCTGGAAGATGAGGAGGGTATTCAACTTGCCTTACAAAGCTATACTTTTGCTGTGCCGTGCGTGCTGGACGTAATGAGGACGCAGGCATTGAATCAGCTTTGGTCGGTGCCGGCCTGAAAGTTAGGAGGGTTTGTTTGAGGACGAAGCCATCTTTGTGTACAGTGCGCCCTACTAAAATCATACGTGATTTAGCTATGCCTTCGCGAGTGCAGATACTGGGCAGAATTTCTAAACATCAGTGCATACCAAGTTGCATACCCGGAGTCGATTTGCACTCGCGTTTCTCAGATCTCGACGACCCTCGACGACCGCTGGATTTGCGACGATACCAGGAGTTGAATGCATTGCAGGCAGGCCCTCTGTGCCGACCATGACGCAAACCCACGGCTGAATAACTAGCCCTTCCAAACATGCTTGCCAGGATCGCTCCATGTCACGCCTTGAGCACCAAGCCAGATGAGAAACGGAGAGCTGCCGCAGATCCTCAAGGACTACCAGGCTGGGTACAGTCGGAGCCACCTCGCCTGACAATGTTGGTGCGTTCTTGACACAGGAGAACCCTGAAATGCCCCAACCATACTGCAAAGCGACTCGGCAGTGGAAAAAGGCATGGCCGAGTGCATCCCTGCAGCCGTGCAACGCAGCCGAAGGGCCGTCGGAGAGTGATGTTTACTCACTGCAGACATCGGTTCAAAAGAGTGCGGAGGAGCTGCCCCAAAGCAAATCCCCGCAGGTGAGAGTGAGAGCGTCTGACGCTGACGCCAAGGTGAGAGATTCCTTCTGTCTTCTGTTTGCCAACTCTCCTTTTTTGGCCGCCTCTTGGAGCGCTTTCTGGGGGGCCCCTTCGGGGGCCCCCGAAGCGAGCTCCCCGATGATACAGTGCCCGGCCCGGGGCTGACTTTCAAACTTTTCCACTTTCTGTTTGACCTTTCAGCGCTTTGAGGTGACAGCCGCACGGAAGGCAAGGAAGCCAGGAAGTTCCTTTGCGCAGCTGGCAAGAGGGTGCCATGTGTGTCGATGGCTGTGGGCACTCGGCTCTGCGCTTGCGCTGGGTCCCACTCCAGCGAGCGCCGTGCTGGACGTCCTTACAGGGCTCTCGATGCCGCGCGGCCTTGCTTTGGACCTCCGAGAGCGGCGAATGTACTGGACCGAGGCAAGAGCGGGAAAAGTAAGAGGATGTAAGAGGGCTCTTGTTGTTTACGTGGGCTCCGGCTCCGGCTCGCCCATGCTCGCCCTTTGCAGGGTGGCACGCAGAAGCTGCGGAGCGCCACTCTCGATGGCCAGGACCTGGACAACCACACCTGTCCCTTTCGATTTTTCTCTACTCCCGCTCCGCAGGACATTCGAGACGTGGTAGAATCTTGACCGCCTGTGCAGGCAGGTTGTTTGGGCTTGGCTGGTTGCAGCGTCCTGAGGTGAAGAGTGAGGTGCAAGAGGCACCCCGCGATGTGGCCGTGGATGCCGAACAGCGGAAGGTGGCCCCCTCCCTCATGCCTCCTTCCCTTTCTCCCGACCGATTCTTACATATTCACCATTTCATAGCATGAAATGGTGCTCATGATTTGTCCTTCTGGCGGATGTTGTGTTTCATGCGATGCAGGTCTACTGGACAGCCCTTTGCTGTGGGCTCCGTCGTGCAGACCTCAATGGTGAGAACGAGGAGGTTCGGGCCTCGGACCCTCTCGCGCTGTCCATCTCTACCCGGAATCCTCTTCTCCAACCATGCCGAACATCGGTGCTTCGACGAGCTGTACCGCTTCTTTTTTGCCCAAGGCTGCGATGCAGCACTCTGAACTGGATGTTCTTTCCTCTATACGTCATATCAGTGCTATCACGTAGCAGTGGCACGAAACAAAGTAATCCCTTGGAAATTCGTTAGATCTCAAATCGAAGGAGTGAACATCTGCAGAGATGTTGTTCCCTTTTCACCAAAAAATTGCCTGTCCAGGATTTGCAGGAGCACCGCTAAGCGTGCCAACGGTCAAGGCCATCATCGGCATCGCAAACATTGGCCAGAGTATCAGTTTCCAGAACAAGAGGAAAGTAAGGGTTAAGTCATTAAGTAAGAGCAACATGACCTGTCACAACAATGGGAAGAAAACCATGAACAACAACAAAAAGAACAAAAACAAGAACAGCAACAACAACAACAACAACGCTCCATACCTGTGTAAACGCGCGCAGGGACATGTGACGGAAATGTACGTGTCGCGTGGCCAGTGTGGGACGAACGACATGTCACGCTTCGGCAACATTCGTTTTGCCTGATTTTTTGCCGAGTCTTTAAGCATGTCGTAGATTTTCCTGGAAACGACGGAAATTCAGATGCGCGTTCTATGTGGCCTGCGTGGGACAAAATCCACTTTGTGTACGCAGAGTTCGTCAATGTGGTTTCCGTTGCCCTTGCTTTGGTTTTCCATGAGAACATTTGAGAGCCCTTGCTGCAAGACAAAAATTGCATTTTTGTGTGGGAAGACAGACGCTTGACCCAAACTTAAGAAAAGCGCATTGTTGCTTAGCATTTTGTTGTTTCGTGTGGCCTGCGTGGGCCAAAATGCGCTTCCGACAAGAGAAACATGAACAGGAGGATGACGGGACAGAAGTAACGGTCATCCTTCAGCAATTTAATCACTATCACCATCATCTTCATCATCATCACCATCATCAGCGTCATTGTTACCATCATGAGAAAGCGCGAGAAGTGATGCACTGGGACTCTGGGGGTGAAGGTTTAAGCCTGATGGAAACACGTACAAGCCCTCATCGTCATCATCCTCATCATCGTCATCGTTATCAGTATGAGAAAACACACGAAGTCAAGCGTCGGGGGTGCAAATTTCGGCTTCATGGAAGCACAGCAGAAGCCCTGAATCATCGTCGTCATCCTCATCGGACGTCATCATGGTTGGGCCAGGGACGCTTTCGTCTCAGAGCGGACTAGACCATGAACGTCATCATGGTTGGGCCACGGATGCTCTCGTCTCACAACGGGCTCTCGTCTCACAACGGATTAACTAGAGCTGGACGTCATCATGGTTGGGCCATGGATGCACTGTTCTCAGAACGGATTGGAGCTGGACGTCATCATGGTTGGGCCATGGATGCTCTGTTCTTAGAACGGATTAGACAATGGACGTCGTCATGGTTGGATGTTCTGTTCTCAGAACGGGTTAGACCATGGATGTATGGATGTCATCATGTTTGGGCCATGGATGCTCTGTTCTCAGAACGGATAAGACCATGGACGTCATCATGACTGGGCCATGGATGTAGCTATGGCTGGGCCATGGATGTAGAGGAGGCACCGAAAATACCTATGGTTTCAGTTCTGCAAGCAAAGGAATCGCTGTAAATACCGAGGCACGTGCAAAATTCGTGAGTTTGGAGGCGCTGGGAATGCCGACGGCACCGATATATTCGGCAAATGAAGTCAGGGAACCATCGCAAAAACCGATGGCTTCGGCATGTCGATTTGACGCATTTACATGGGTTTGGAGCCAACAAGAACGACAGCCACAAACAACAACAACAACAACAACAACAACAACAACAAGAACAAGGAGGTACAAACAAAAGCTGCAGCCCCGTGAACCAATATATCTGATTTTTGTCTGTACATTAGGTGAGACGAAAACAGGAGCCCCGTCATCCCCCCCCCACACAACAAAAACAACACAGTGGCTATGGTGCACAGGGTTTGAAGGATTTGCAGAGGATTTCCATGGATTTGGAAGAATTTTCAAGAGATTTCCAAGGATTTTCAGGGGATGTCCAAGGATCATCCAAAGGATTTCCACGGATGTTCAGAGGATTCCCGGTGTATCAGGGCGCTTACGGTAGGTGTCCAGGGTTCACGTCTGGGCTGCAGCGCCGAAAGCCCACGCATTCCAAAGCATTGAGATCTTTCTAAATGCCGTTCCAAATACCACAAAAACCCTCTAAAACTCCCATTAAAACCCATCAAAATCATCAAACCCAACCCCATAGAACCCTGCAGAATCTCATGACACCATTACTGGTAAATTCTAAACCCCTTACAAAACTCATGAAACCTCTTCTACACTTCGCAGATTCCCATACCCGGATGCAAACGTCGTGTAGTGTGGGCGGTTGTTATAAAGGGGGGGGGGGTCAAAACAACAGACCGCGCTCCACTTTTCATCTCTACCAGCAGGTAGAGACAAAGTCCTGATGTCAATGGGGCCTTTGCCTGTACTTGCTGCTAGAGACAAAAACTGGAGCCCCGTCTGTTGTTTTGACACCCCCCCCCCTCTACAACAACCACCCAGCCTACGCAGCATTTCTATC